GTTTTTTTTTGTTCTGAAAACAACAAAAACAACAGCCTTCCACAGCACTTGATTCCTGATAAGAGCAGCCAGAACAAAAGTTCTTGCTGATGTCAGCTTCCTAACTTTACATTAGGTCTTGTGAACAAAGTGGCTGCTGCCTATGGTCTTACCATGTATGTGTGTGTGTGTGTGTGTGTGTGCGATTCTAGGTTATTATTTTCAAAGTATAATGAGTCTTGGGAATTAATTGAATCCATTTCACACAGTAATAAGCATAATTGCGATGCCTTGACGGAATCTCATCTCATGATGCTTGTCTGATAACCATTACTGTATGTCAGGAGGTTATATCTAAATGTCAGCTTCTTACTGGTGTTTAGTCTGGTTTTGTGAGTTTGTGATATGTGTATAGAAGAAGAGGGGATTTGAAATAGCATATGCTCCATCAATTTATGTGCTCAGCCGCTCCAGGAGGCCCCGGTGGTTTGTGAGGTACTACGGCAGTGGTGGGAAGTTATGGCAGGAATGTGATGTCATTCTAAGAAAAGTCTGTAGATGACCTTCACCAGATGTTTGTGTGATCTTCAGTTCCCCTTAACATGATAGCAAAGACACATCCAGCTGTTGTAAATGTTCACTCAAAGTGGAGCACTCCAGTGATGGGAACGTTTCTACCCCCATCTGGTTAACATCAGTACTGCTGCAATACTTAGTGAAATCTGAGTACAAAATGTAGCAGCAGGCTAGAATTTGTGAAAACATTGTAATTATTACACACAAGATGAAAGAGTTGAACATTTAAGGAAACATTTAAGCATAAAGTTTGCAGGTTGGCTCCAATACATGAGGGGGGGATTTGCCCACTTGGGCAAGAAGAACAGGGGCAGTGAGTCATGCAGTCACAGCAATCTGAAGGGCAAACTGAATGACTGAATTCTGCAACAAAGACGTAAGTTCAGGAAAATCCAGCTGCCTTTTCCATTCATTGTTTATGCTTTGAATTCAGTTAAGAAGCCTCAAGTCTCTAATGGGATGTTTTATGAGAACCGTCAGGTCAAGAATGAAGTTTGAGTCTGTGTATTGTATTGATTGGTTGTTGGAAAGTTAAGAAATTATTTTCCTTGAAGGCCCCAGAGATATACTGAAATGACATCACAGATTTGATTGTAACTAATGGTAACCAGTAGTTGGCAAAACAATTTCAACTCAAGGTCCATTTAGTTCATGTTCTGGAGCTTTCATTCATATCACATGATCTTCGTCAGCAGATTGTGTTTGCCCAGTTGTCATGGACTTGCAAATGTTCACATTTAAATATCCATCAAACTCCCTCTGCGAAGGAAGATCATGTTATATGATTGAAATGAAAGCTCTGGAACTGCTGCTACAGAGAATATACCTTGTGGTGAGTTTGTTTTGTCAGTTAGAATATTGTACATCCTTTATCTCTGCCCAGTAAGGTGAGGTCAATGGCCACACGAAATTTAAATCTGGGAAACGTCAGAAAAGATTTAAAATGTCCGATCCAACCTATTCTGTAGCTGTAGCTGTGCTTGCCTCAGCCACGACGACGCTGCTCTTGCTGTGGCTCTTTTTACGATCCGGTTATGCAACAGCTCTATATACTCACTCTTGGTTTACATTAAGAGTGTTTGTGTTAACGTCTGGATCTCTGGAGCTGCCTCTCTTGCTCCGTAAAGTAAACATTACTCATCACTTCCTCCCTCCTGGGCTCATCTCAGTGCTGCGATGTATCTAATGATGTCAGACATATCAAGCAGGTGTTATTGAAACATCAGGCCTTTTGGGAGGAGGCCTGAACTGATGTAACCTCCAGGATTGAGACACAGCGGCCTACACTGTGGAAGGCCTGTGGACATGCCCGTGTGCACCATGATGCCACAGATCGCTCTCATCCCTCCCACCCCATCTTCTGCCTCTGTTGGAATTTTATGCTTTCTGTCTCAGATTCTGTCAAAGCAAACCCTCAGTCCCGTGTTTCCCTGCCAGCTCCGGACAGCTTAAACAATCACAAACACACAATTATGGATGAGGCACTGTTTTTGCGCAGCGCCCAAGAAATGTAAACACTCTGCCAGCACACGTCATATTGATTTTTCACAGTTTGGAGACATCCAGGCCTGCCATCCAGACTCAGGAATGACATAAACACTTGTCCAGAGGCACGTCAGACTGTCTGCGGCGGAGCTCGGCTGGATCTGATACAGTTCCTCGAGGGCTTAGTGACTCACCAGCCACTGTATATTCACAGTGGACACTAACACTCATCACTGCAGAATCTCAGGCTTCTGCTCAGTCTGTTTGCTCGGTGGAAGATCATGCTGTTTGTGTAACCTCACTGCAAGGATCTGATGGGGATCATTTAATGTAAGGTATAACATTGGGAGACAGTAACTGCAATACTCAACTAGTACAAACAAACATGCTCCCTCATTCTTTATCGATATTCATATTTATATTCAAGACAGTTTATAAAAGTGTGTTTTTGTTGTACAATGCATCAAAAAATGTTTTAAATGTACTCTTTTTAGATAGATTTTGATGAGTATCAATAGTAGTTGTTTTATGTGGGTCAGTCTGTTATAAGGTCAGTATGTGGTGGGGTAAAAACTGTAAAATATCCCTCTGACATGTAGTGAAGTAAAAGTAGCTGTATCTCAACATTTGACAGATGTGTGTAATCTGGTAAGGCTATCATCCATCATGACGTCGGCCTTTAGAAATGGTATTCATGCTCGATAATCAGACCTGTCATCATTCTTAAGATCCCTTTTCAGACATCCACTCAATGGCTGCAAGACTCATTAGCATCATGTTCTTTTTTGTGCAGATATCAGTTGGGTCTGTGTGCCATCTCTCCCATCTGGTGTTTGGGTTTATGGCGGTGCATAGTGGACGTAGAAGGAAAACAAGCAGGAAAATTCGGAGAAGCACTATTTTGATCCACCTGCAGATTACTGAGCGGTGTTTGGAGATTCAGCAGTAGACATCACATGGGTGTTTTTTTTTTCTTCAAACATGAGCGCACCTTCACCATCGTGAGCCAGTTTAAGGTTTGACTTACGAACATGCAGGAATGTCTGCTCGGTTAAGTTGCGCCTTAAAGAGGATGGAGAAAACTGCCGAAAGGAAAAAAAAATCGGAGACAGAAAGCAACAGGTGACAGAGAATATTTAAAGCAATGCTTAAACATGAGCAGCTGTGATTTATTTGAGTGGTGCTGACAATATGCAAGTGTCAGGTGTCCCTTCATTGCATCAGCGTGCCTGAACTCCCTTGGTAAATTGTCAAAATCATGTTAATCCAGCACCAGGAGCCCTTATTGCTGCGTGCCAGCAAGTTTGCCGTAATAAAACACACATGTGCTTCATTCTGAGAGTTAATTTTCCTTTTCCTCTGTTTGTCTTATGACACTAATCTGATCTGAAGCAGGTGTTCCTGAAGTTTTCTTTAAGTGGCATAATAGTAATAAATCCTGTGAAAAAAAAACACTCAAGGGACCAGAAGTTAAGAGGTGCGATGGAGTGAGTTAGACGTGTTTGAGAGAGCAGGAATGAGAATATTTACCAGGCCACACATGTGTTATAATAGAATAGATGAGAACAAGTGCTCTTGGTCAGGGCTGAGAGTGGGGTCTGTTTTCTGAGCTTTCCCATGCTTTAAGAGCCACATATTGATTCAGTTATCTGGTATGTTGGAGAGGATTGCATGTAAGTAGGAAGACATGGAACATGTTTAATATTTGGACAGAACACAGAGTTATAGAACATGTAAAATTAAGAGTGACTTATATATGAGATGCCAGGTTTAGAAAGTTGTGAGAGGATCATGATTAAGGGAGATGAAGCCATTTATTTGTTGTGTATGTGTGTGAGAACAAGAGGCAGACGGAGAGAAATATTTGTGTGTAGTGTAGCTGTTCACTCTCTGCCCAAGCTTGCTGAGCCCGTCCAAAGCTCTGACAGGCTTTTGGCTGGACGCCTTCCACGTGAGTCCAGCAACAGCTGGATGATGGAGAGAAAAGGAGGAGGGGAACAATGAGGGAGAGAGAGAGAGAGAGAGCCAAGGCAGAGCAGGCCAGTTCCCAGGCTCCATCCTCTGAAGACCCCAGAGGAGAGGAAGCAGGGTGGAGTGGGCGGGTGGGGGGAGTTGGGAGGGCTGAAAGGGACAGCTGCATTGATGTTGTGCCTGCATGTAGTAATCAGTGACGCTCGATGTGGCTTCAAAGTAACATGATTGCACTAAAGAAAGCCATCCTTCATTTAAGCCTTTCAATAAGTCATCAATATAATTAAAGCTACTATAGTTCATTAACAATGAACAACAATTATCAACGGATCTGATGACAAGTTTACGTGAACAAACCCACTGAGAACTTTCACCCCACTGCAGTTCTCTTTAGCTCTACGGAGTGTTTTAGCATCTTTCAGCTCACTGTTTTGGTTTTACTGTCAGCAACTTGGCTGTTTTGGTTCACTGTCGATGCTTAAACAAAGCAGCAAGAGCTCTAAAGACCAACAGTATGGAGGTAAAATTAGAGTGAATGTTAGATTTACTTCCAGTCACCAGTCACCAGTCAAAAACTCTGATGATGCAACTGAGGGCATCCGTCTCTGTTTTTGAATTTAATAGAATCACCACAGTTTTTGATTTGTCAATGCTCACCTGTGAGACAGATCAGCAGACTCGCATGAAAACACTGCAGAAGTCGGTCTGGCCGCTCACTGTGGTGATTTGCAGCATCAGTGGGGATATCTATGAGCCACCTGACAGAGGCAGGACACTAGCATGCTATAAAAGAATGATTAATAACAGAAGTCTGATGAATGACATCAAGTGACTCTCAGCGGTTGGCTGTTATACTCAGCTGGCTAACACTGTCTTCATTTTTGCTCCTCTCTTGATTATTATTTTCTTGTTTTGCCACACTCTCCTTCCCAAATATTTGGCCTTCCAAGTGACGTATCATTCATAAGTATGTTTCTCTTCATCCTCAGGGCTGCGGGGCATCATGTGGAAAATGCGACTGCAGTGGTGTGAAAGGAGCAAAGGTGAGATTTTCGTTTGTCACTGTCAATCAATGCTTGTGCATTTTCTTCACTTATTTGATATCAAACCACCTTGTTGGTTTGCAGTTGTTGCAAAGGGGGCTTTTTAAGTTCACAGCCCACCGAAGCAGTCGTGGCAGTGCTTGCTATGTTCTGACTGATGGGGTCAGCTCAGTGGGACAGACTGCAGCTGGGCCTGGGTGGAAAAGCAGTGGATGGGGCTCAGTCACGGAGGAGAGACCAGGACGGGAACAAAGATCAGTTTGAATTAGAGCATGTCCGGACACACAGCTGGGCCGAGGGCCTTACTCCCATCAGAGGGAGGCTCTCAGATACAGTACAGATGCACAAGTGGTGGGGGCAGTAGCCTGAACTGGCCATAAGCCTTTGAGCTGTCAGCAGCAGCATGAATGTTAAATCACTGTCCTGAAACGTGAAAAGTTGGTATTAAGTGTCTTTGGTAAAGGCGGTTTTGTTGTTACTTAATTTTTTTTCTTCTCTAAAGCAATTGATTAGAGACTGTCAAAGCCTGATATATCTCATTCAATCAGTAACGAGTATATTTATGGGACAGCAACTAGGAAAGAAAAAATAAGAACATTTCAGACTTTCCTCTTATTTTTGCCTTTTTGCAAGTGAATTATGGGATATTTGTGTACCTCTTAATCACAAAAAATCCCTCTTTGGTTGAATTGGTCACAACCAGTAGACATGAGGGGTCACGAGTCACATTGCTTTGTTTTATGTTGTCGCAAGTAAAGGAAATTTGGAACCACTGCTATTAAAGTTCATTTGTTTTTCCACTGCAACTCCTGCTGTGAGTGTACATGTAAGTTATTGGCTCAGTTATATCAGAAGACTGCAGCATGTTATCCATCCTCTTTGTGCAACAGTCGGGCCTTTTATGGCTCATTCTTACAGCAACAGTAGCCCCACAAAAACAACAGATGTATTCACTGTGTTCAATGGAGCTCGGCCAACCCACTGTGGATTCAAAGCACTGCTGTGTTTTGAAACGTTTCTGAAAGGCCCCAAAAAAACCCATGTGAGCTCTATTTCCAATGATGTCACTTCTGTACGTTGCACAACAGGAGTTGCCGTGGTAACCCGATTGATGATTTCCCACGGTTCAAAATACAGTTTTTCTCCCGACTGATTGAAGTCAGATGTGTTGTGGTCAGAGAATGGAAATCGACCTAAAAGGTTTCAGTATGTTACACGTGACGTTCTCATGCTTGACAGCTCAGAGAGGGTCTTGAAGATTACTGGAGCGGGTCCTTCAAAAACGCAATGCTGCCATCTAGTGGCAGGTAGTGGGAACAACATCCAATCACACTGAGTCACTGTGATTGGTTGTGACTAAAAGTAGTTTTTATTGTTTTGTTTTTTGTTAACATTGCGCATAATTCAACAATCAAAACAATAGTTTTCATTATGAAGTCAAATGCATTTTTTAAAAATATGTTTATAAAAATAAGTGCTTATCCTTTGATTTTTGGCAATGGATTGACTGAATGGATCATAAGCTCTTACAGGTAAAATGATCTCAGTTGACCTAAATGCATGAGATGCACATTTTTGAATGCATCTAAAAAAATGGAATCCCTTTAAATCATTATAGATTATAATGTTACCACAACAATTGATAATAATACAGTAACTCAGTCTAAGACTGAGTTAAGTCATTAAGTATCGAATTGTATAGTTACTGTTCCCCATTCAATTTGCTTTGGGTATCAAACCCATGTCTGATAAATTTATGAAATTATAAAATGTCTTAAATCTGTTTTAAAAGTTCTGTGCCTTAAATTGTTCCTTGTAATCTCAGTAAATATGAATATTTTTATCCTTTCATCATTAACCTGACGGTCTGTGCTTCACAGGGTGAGCGTGGATTTCCTGGTCTTCAAGGTAATATGGGATTTCCAGGGATACATGGACCTGAAGGTCCTCCAGGACCATTGGGCCCCACGGTCAGTACACATACACACACACACACACACACACACACACACACACACACACACACACATACATTAAAGTGAATAACCTTACCTGACCTAGTTTGTGTCCCCTTGTCCACACCTGTGACATTGTGAACTGATTCTATACACATAGATCAACTATTAAGATTATAACATATTTCTCTGTTAAGATGATCATGATGTCATTTGTCTCTTTTAGGGAGGTCTGGGTGAACCCGGAGCTTCTGGACTGAAAGGAGTGCGGGTAAGTAACTAACCATCACAATCATGACATACAGTATGATGTGATAAATGAGACCGGTATCGTCATAAGACAGTAATGCTGATATGGCTGTCATCTTGCAGGGTCCTCCTGGTCTGCCAGGTTTCCCAGGAAACCCGGGACTACCAGTAAGTTCCTCTGATCTGTCTAACATCCTGCAGTATCCAGTAAATTTACCCCATAACAATAAGAATGTTGTAAGATGCAATCGCTGACTTAAAAGTAAGACCCTCTAGATAACACGGTTTTAGATGATGCTACTTTTTAGGCTACGTCTTAGGTGTCTGTGGGGAGCTTAGTTGTTGGACTAGTCTGCGGAGACTTTGTCACTGTAACTGCAAATTGTCTCAAATGGTCTATTTATGTGCTCCCACTCTTAGGGCATCAATGGAAATGATGGCTCACCGGGTTTGCAAGGTATCCCAGGATGCAATGGGTCTAAAGTAAGCCACTTCTAAAAGTTGTACTGTGTTTCAAACCGGATTTGTTCACTGTTTGTGCCTTCTGACTGTGTTGTGTGTGTGTGTGTGTGTGTGTGTGCGTGTTTCAGGGAGACAGAGGGAGGGATGGCACTCCTGGTTTTGCTGGTCTTCAAGGACCTCCTGTAAGCAACCGTGACTCACATGTCAACCAACCAGCACACATTTCAGCTATTGCCACTGTCCTGTGGAGAAAATATGAAAAAGCATCAGAATTTCTTTCAATGCTTCCTGGTTTTTATACTGACTGGTACACCTTTTTGGGAATAGTCCGGTTGTCTTTGAGCAGCTCTCCTCAGCTCATATAGAACCGTGTTGCAGTATGAAGTTAAAACATCACAACCATAATAACATTTCTACGTGACATGGCAATATGTTACCTAAACAGTGTCTGAAATCCAAATATTCATCCTATCAGAATATGTTACATGTATAGATATGTTACTACTGTCCTCTCTTCTCAGGGCATCTCAGGAATTCCTGGATTGAAGGTCAGCTGAACTTTATGTAGCTATTACATTTGTATGCAAATAAGAATGTCCCATCTTCATGTATGATGAGACACTGTTCTACCAAACCATTTATTTGTGTGTTTTCTCCTACAGGGCGACCCTGGTGGTGTGATCGGGATTGTTCCCCTGAAAGGAGACAGCGGATTCCCTGGCACACCTGGATTACCTGTGCGTTGTGTGTGCATGTTGAAAGAAAAAGAGACAAACTAAGACTAAATGTTATCTCAATTTTCATGTAAGTTCTTCCCACACATGTCATTCTCTCCCAGGGATCAAGTGGATCTCCTGGACCTATTGGACCTCCAGGACCTCGAGGCTATCACGGACCCAAAGTGAGTTGGATTGTTTGTCATCCTACAGAGTCAGTGATAGACCTTATGAGCTATGCAATATTGGTTATGCAGAGACACATGATAACCATTAAATAAGAACACCAATCTGTGCTGGAAAGAGCAAACATTATAAAGTATAATCTGTGTAGATGTTTAAACCTGGAAGATGCTGTTGGATGATTTGTTTATCTGTAATATACAGTACTGATATTATCAGTTTGTTTTACTAACTGAGTAACTGTTTGACAGGGTGAACCTGGCTTCCCTGGCCCTCCTGGAGAAATAGTAAGACTATTAAGATAAAGAGTTTACAATTGTAAAACAAAATTCACCATTCTCTGACTTTATCACACAGCTGAGATGTCATGGAACTTCTTTTTTTTTTTACCTCCTTGCAGGGTGACAAGCTGTCCTATCTGAGTCAGAAAGGAGATAAGGTGAGAATTTAGTTTTTTTTGTATGTTGTCTGCAAAAATGCTGCATTTCTAATATGATGCTTTCACTGTAGACCTAACTAGAGGCAGCAGTAGCACTTCAGTAAGTCAGTAATAAAACAGTGAGAATGGGCTAATATATTTCTTAATGTGGGTTTTCCGGTAGGAAATATTTAAATAAAGTTTTGATGGTATTATCTTAAAAAAACAACAACATATAATCAGTTATCAGTTTTTAAAAAAATCACCAAATTTGGAGAAACTTTTCACTGGATGATTTGCTTTTTTGATTACATTTTGTGACTAATTGTTAATGCATTGCTCTCGTGAAAATGTATTGCTTGTGGAAGTTGTTGTGATCATTGCGGTCTTCCTGAAGGGGGACCAAGGATTTCGTGGCCCACCCGGACCTCCCGGACTTCCATTAGAAAGAAGGGGAGAACCTCCCACAAAGATCATACCTGGACCACAGGTACTCGGCACTTTAAAAACAGAACAGATATTGTGCTAAATTTGGCTATAAATAAATCGCAAATATTTGTTGATATGTACAAGATGACTTGGATTCTGTGTTATTTCCTGAATGTTTTTGTGCTTTTTTATTCGTAAAGGGTGGGAAAGGAAATCCAGGGGATAAAGGAGACAAAGTTAGTATTGTACCTTTAAATGTTGAGGTGTATGGTTTACAGTAGATTACTGTCCACACAGGCTGTTTGCTATCCTTTTGTTCAATTTTTTTCCTTTGCAGGGCTATTGCACCCCACATCACACTGGTGTCAAAGGGGAAATCGGTCCTGATGGACCAAGAGTAAGTGATAAAAAATGCGTCTCTATGGGATGGTACAATAAACGAAGAAAGACTTCAAGAGACAGCAAAACTAATTAAAGTGAGTGTTTCTGTAATTTCAGGGTAAATCTGGCAAGGATGGAGAGGACGGGCTGAAGGTAACAATAATTTACTATATTATTCACCTCCTATACTATACTGCCCAACTGTTGTTTGCTTTAATCTTATGAAATATGTATCGCTAAAGTACATAATACTTTCATACAGGGAGAAAAAGGCTTCCCCGGATCAGGTGGATACACTGGTTCTCAGGTAACTGATTCATCTTGTATTTACTCTGCACATACTCAAGACTTTAATCTGAAACTTAGATGATCTCGGAGGTGTTATGGTCAGACAGAGTAAACTCTCCGTCTTGTTTCAGGGTGAAAAGGGAGAAAGAGGACCACCAGGTCATGTAAGTAATGCCTCTCATCCCTCTTTCTCTCACTCTTATCCTCTCCCTCTCTTTCCAATCAGCTACAAAGACATGGATGATTTCTAAAAAGCTACCAGCAGATGTAACCACATATTCATTCAGTTAAAATGTGAGAGCATGTTAAATGGGCAATCTATTAAACATCATGGCTGTGGCCTTGACTTGATTATCAGCAACTTAAAATTAGTCCCCGAGAGGCTAAGTAAGGGAGACTAATGTTCGGACGCGCTGGTAGTAAATGATGATAAGAAGTTCAGCAGTCAACTCATTTGAGTTTAGGTAGATTGGTGGATTAAAACTTAAACATAATCTTAAACAATCTTATATAATTTTAGGGTGATGGTTCCCCTGGTTCTCCCGGTCCTCGTGGTTTTCCTGGGGTACACGGAGAAAAAGGTAAAGTGAGGTCATAGTGTGCCACTAAATGGTCATACGCATATGCGGACACGCACACATGCGCATAAACACCTATTTTGGATCAGGTCCCATGATATGATATATTTTCTCATAATCCACAGGTTTTGCTGGTCCTCAGGGAGAGGCAGGTCCACCAGGTACAATGACACAACATTTCAACATAATATAAGACCACTGCATTGAGACGGCATTTGTTAGTCAGACACATGCTAACCTGAATAACACACTAACTGGCTTTCTTGACTTGTACTTCAGGCCAGCAGGTGGAAGGGCCTCGAGGGGAGAACGGTCAGAAGGGAAACGTTGGTGAGAAAGGAGAAAGGGGTGTAGAAGGAGAGTCTCTCGTTGGACCTCCAGGACAACCAGGGACCACTGGATCACCTGGACCACCTGGACTACCGCGTATGTCTTATCTTTGAATAATATAACTAACATTTCAACAATTGACATCAAGGAACACCTTGATAAAGTGCATACCTCTATATATAAGTGTATATATGTGTGTGTGTGTGTGTGTGTGTGTGTGTGTGACAAATGTTTGTGTTGTGTGCTTTGACATGGCCGCACAGTTGACCCTAATGAATGTAACAACGAGAAAGGAGTTCCTGGCCCAACTGGACCTCAAGGGTTACAAGGGGAATTGGGACAGAAAGGTAAGAACGTCTACAATTAATGCTGATTAATACGAGTCATCAAATACATTTATTGAAATTCTATGTTTTTATCTTTGAGGCGTAATGATACCTTTGTGGGCCCATGTACAATATGCATCATGTATTATCTGCAGCTGGACAAAATTTTAAGGACATTTAAGTGCATCATATTATTTTAATTGATAAGTCTGTGCCTCCTTTCAGGTGACAGAGGAGATACCTGTGTTCAATGTGAAGCCTTCGGCCCACCTGGATTACTTGGCCCCCAAGGCCCTAAAGGAGATCGAGGTGAGTGAACAGTGATCATATTCAAATAAAATGGTGGTGTCTAGCCACACGACTATTGGGGCTCTGAGCTAAATATGTGAGGATCTCTTTCACCTTCTGAGTACTTCTAACCACAGCTGTGAATATTATTTTATTCCAACATTTTTTCCTTTGCATTGATACTCACTAGATTACTATTGAATGAATATGACGTATGTACAATTGTCCATTTTCACCTGGCAGGACCTCCTGGGCTAGTAGGCGGCAAAGGAGAAAAGGGTGTGTCTGGCTATTCTGGACAATCTGGAAGACCTGTGAGTAGAATAATGTGTGAAATACTTTGGGCAAGGTCTGAGCTGAATAATTTCACAATTTATCCTTCATTTCATTGAGGAAAATGGAGCAACAAGACCTGTTGCTCCATTTTGACCTGTGTGCATTTTGACCTGTGTGCAGGGTTCTACCGGTATTCCTGGGTTGATTGGGGCACCTGGTGCTGTTGGTGAGCCAGGAGACATTTTCGCAAATCCTGGTCTGAAGGGGGACAAAGGTCTGCATGGTATTTCTGGTACACCGGGGCAGTCAGGACTGGATGGACAGCCAGGGAGAGATGGCCTCCCAGGTATACCTGGCTTCAAAGGAGAACCAGTAAGTGTGTGTCTGGTTTGTTTGGTTAGGCAAACTATCAGGATATCAGGACAGCATGAGCTAGTCTATAATATAGTTTCAGGATTTATTGTCAACTCAAATCAAAGTAGATTGGAAATCGCCTTTCTCTGATTGCTTTCAGGCCAAAGAAGGCATCAAGGGTGAGCGTGGACCAGATGGGGACCCTGGTCTTATTGGGCCTCTCGGAGAGAGGGGTCCACCTGGCCTGCCAGGCTTCGGTCGACCAGGAGAGAGTGGAGACAAGGGCAGTCATGGGAGACCAGGCCTTCCTGGAACTCCTGGACCATCTGGTAGGCATGCCATGTACACAATGAGAGACCAACAGATACTGTGAAAAATGCACTCATCTAGTCAAAGAGAAGTAAAATCAAACTTTATCTCAACCGCACATCAGAAACTCAGCAAACACACACTGAACATTAAGCCAGTGATAACATATACCTTGTGTGCACCAGGTACAAAAGGTGAGCCAGGTAAAGGTGTGAGCACTCCTGGACCTCAGGGAATACCTGGAACACGCGGAGAAACCGGCATACCTGGAGTTCAAGGTGAGCAACACCATAGTCAGCATGTTTTCATTTTAACTCCACTGCAAAAAATATGATTTACAATTAGTCTCTTGAGGATTAATCAGTGAACTTAATCTTATGTTTGATCAACAAGTATCAGCATGTAATTACAAAAAAACGAAATAAATTGTGGTGTAGAATTGTTGGTGATTGGTCCTGTTTACCCTGTAACGTGTTGTTGGTTGCAGGTGAGAAAGGCCTGCATGGAGACTCTGGGTTGCCAGGTTTCCCTGGAGAGAAGGGTGAACACGGACCCCCTGGAATTGGATTTCCAGGCCTAACTGGCCCTGAAGGTAAGTTACTCCATGATGACCCTATTCCGCCTCTCCGTGGATCAAAGAAAGTATGTGGATACTTACAGGTCCCTGAAGAAAAAGATCAGCAATTGGATACAGTGTATGAATTCTATGTACATAAACAGAGCAAATGTTTTATCCATGTTTCTAGGAATCAGTGGAATTCCAGGAGGTCCAGGATTACCAGGAGATTCTGGAAGACCAGGACAGGATGGCTTGACTGGACAACCTGGTACACCTGGGCAAAAAGTGTGTATTTCTCTGCATTTGTATAATTCAACATTCTACCTGACGATTAGTGTTCTGTGCAACTTCCTAAAGTTAAAGTTAGATTTGAAGTTAGATGATGTTTCTTTCTTTGGATGTTGCATTGAAATATATATTTGAGAGGACTTGGTTTATAAATATTACACAAGTGCCTTGTTTTTATTAGTCCAAAGCTCTATTGTTACAGAATACAATTCAAATCCAACAACAAGAGCAATACTAACATTTATTTTTCATGGACATGATACACTGTGAGATTTGAATGTCATCAGTCATCAGTGCTTATGTCTATATTCTGCAGGGTGACCCAGGGCGGGGTCTTCCAGGTCTAAAAGGTTCTCAGGGTTCCCCAGGAATTATTGGCTTCCCAGGAGAAAAGGGTGTCATTGGACAACATGGTGTTCCTGGACGAGAAGGCCAGACAGGAGGACCAGGACCTCAGGGAATCAAAGGTACTGCAAGACATGCTTGATTAGTCCATGCTGCAGAGTTAAAAGGCCCATCATCTGTGCCATGTACAACTTATTTTTTCTTTGTTCTTCAAAATAAGGTGACATGGGACCCCCAGGATCTCGTGGAGTGGATGGCTTACCAGGTGCTCCAGGTAAAGGCTCCCCTGGAGCTCCTGGACCACAAGGACCAGCTGGAGAGTCAGGACCGTACGGTGAGCACAAACTTTTCATCCAAACATATGGACCTTTTTAACAGAAGACATTTTGACCTGTCACTGAAGGTAAAGCAATTATTGTATAATATGGTAATAATAATGTTCAAATAATATGATTAATGAATGCGTGCACGAGTGCATGCATGGACACTTGAATGAAACACAGCCATTGTAATGTTATCAGTAACTCCTGTCATGTCAGATTATGAAGAAAACTCTTCGTATACCTCACCTGTCAATTGTTATGGAAGTCACTACAAATATATTTGTATGTGTGCATGTTGAACAGGTAGGGAAGGTGTTCAGGGAGAAAAGGGCTACCCAGGTCCTTCTGGTCTGGACATGCCGGGGCTTCAAGGAGATAAGGGAGCCAGCGGGTTCCCAGGAAACCCAGGTTCCAAAGGACTAACGGGGCCACCAGGCTTCCCTGGCAGGGATGGACTCATTGGAAACCAAGGTGAGACTGACTGATGTGCGGGTGTTTTTTTTGTACTTGCACAAATACATAAAGGTCGGTCCCGAATACAATCGATGTAATGTACGTTTCTACAGCATTAATTCATTCAGTCCAACAATGTAGTGAGTTTTTAAATCAGAAATACCTGAAGTAATTGCAATGCATCTACTTGCCATTCTTGTGTTCAGTGTGTATGATATTGTCAATAAAAGTCAACACTTCCTGTCCATGTTTCACATTAAAAGCCTTCAACATAAAGGAGGGATTATGCCCTTTGAGCTGCTGGAAGGCTGACATATCTTTGCAGGAAATGTTTGGGAGTAGCTGAGCGCTGAATGAAAAACAACAATGTGGAAATGCAGAATGGAATTAGTTATGAATTGTGAATGAGTAAAGTATGTCACGGGAGTTCACGGTTAGGACCCAATAGCAAGACCACAGGAGAAAGATTACGGTAAAACAGACTTTATTTAGCCAGAGTAAGAAGACAGTAAGGTGTGGAGCCCGTGGTCCGACACCAGAGAGTAGGCAGATCGACGGTGCGAGTCCCGTGGCTCGACACCGGAGGGCAGGCAGCTCGACGGTGTGATGTCCCGTGGCTCGACACCGGAGGGCAGAGCGGCGGTGTGTAGTCCGTTAACACAAGGAGGGCAGAGCGGTGGTGTGCAGTCCGTAACACAAAGGAGGGCAGAGCGGTGGTGTGCAGTCCGTAACACAAAGGAGGGCAGAGCGGCGGTGTGTAGTCCGTAACACAAAGGAGGGCAGAGCGGCGGTGTGCAGTCCGTAACACAAAGGAGGGCAGAGCGGCGGTGTGTAGTCCGTAACACAAGGAGGGCATGGGGGATTCCCGGACCGACGGGCACCAGAGGCAGGTGCTCGAGGCAGAAGGTGAATACAGGGTTGAAGTGGGTGAAAGACGGTACGACCTGATAACCCCAGACTGCAGGACCAGAGTTTATATATTGCCAGGGGAATCGTTAGTGGGACCTGAGTCTGGTGGTCAGCCTACAGGAGGTGATTAGCTGAAGTAGCTGCAGCTGTGTGGCCATGGGAGGTGTCTGGTCTGACAGGGATCCTGACAAAGTATTTATGTTAAAAAGAGAAACTCAGAGCAGCAGAGTGCTCAGTATGACATGACATTGTTTGATAATGTGGTAGAAATATACATTATCTTGATATAATTACTGTCACCACTGTGGCAGTAATGTAGGACGTTGAGTATTCGTACTACCATTCAATTTGAAATGAGGAAGGAGCAGGGTTGACTTTTAGAGAATTTTCACAATTTCCCTCCAGTGGTGCCATACTAGGAAGGCTGCATGGGATATATGTGTTCGATAATTGAATCCTCTGTCTTTTTTTTATCTACATTCATCCATCCATCCATTTTCCTCCGCATTCATTTCACTATAAAGTATGTATGTTTGTTTACCAGGTTGGAAAGGTGAAATGGGGCTCATAGGGACACCAGGAGTACCAGGTTTTCCTGGACCACCTGGTATATCTGGATCTACTGGACTCAGAGGTGAGGAAAACCAAACTGTGAAAACTAGTTCTTTCATCAGCATCCGTCATACTGGTAAAAAAAAAGATGTTTTCAGTTTAAAAAAAAAGATTTTTACTTCTCACCGTCTCTCTTAGGTGATCCCGGTATTACTGGACCTAGAGGTGATATTGGAGTGACTGGAACTAAAGGAGAAAGGGGAGACCAAGGTCTTCAGGGACCTCCTGGGAACATGAGCGACGTTGACATGGAGCACATGAAGGGCGAGAAGGGAGACCTCGGAAACATAGGTATAAAACAACATACTGCCTTTGGCTCAATAAGAGTATATGGTTGATTTACTACAAACAGGTTCATTGGTGATTCTATCTATTGACCCACAGTTTAAGAAATATCTATTTTTAATACTTTCTTTTAGCATCTTCCAGCCAATAATTTTCTATAAAGTTCATTGCAAATATGTATACGTTTAATGAAGTAGAATTAACAAATACCAGAAAATAACTAAGAGACCCCCCCCTCTCAACCTCTTTCCAAAAGATTATTTAAATTGGATTTATATAAATTTGGTTTTTAATTCCATTTTCCCATCAGGTACACCTGGGGGCTCTGGAGAGAAGGGCCACCGTGGACTTCCTGGTAACCCTGGAGTACCAGGCAAAGATGGAGAGTCTGGATTACCTGGACAACCAGGTGAACACATGATCACCTAAAGAGCAACCTAACATGTGTTGAATTTCTTTATAGGATATCTAAACCATAAAATACAGTAGATATAAATTTTTCTATCCCACTGATGTGTCTCAGGTGAGAAAGGAGACCCTGGTTTCCCCGGAGACCCTGGCAGGATGGGACCAACTGGTCAGAAAGGCAGTGGTGGAGAGATGGGAATACCAGGTAAGATCGCACAAACAAAACAAACTAAATGTGTCTCATGACAACAACCAGTGGCAGTGCGAGTGTGTGCAAACATGTATTGTATGTGTTACAAACAAAGACCGAAGTGTAAAGCGCTGTATTGAGGATATTTCAAGAGAGGGGAAACCCACATTTCACATTCTATTGTGTGTGTGTGTTTGTGCAGGTGTGGTTGGTCCAAAGGGTACTAAAGGAGATTTTGGTACATCGGGACATCCGGGATTCAGAGGCACCGACGGACAGAAAGGAGACAAGGGAGTATCTGGTGAACCAGGTATTGGGTTCCCAGGACATTCAGGAGAAAAGGTAATCCACTTCCTATAAAAATTCTTATTTTTTACAACACTAGTTCTATGAAAATACATTTTTGAGACTCTATGAGCCCGACTCACAGTTAAAAAAATCAGTTAAATAATCAGTACAAAAGATAAAACACCATATTACAAAAGCCAAATATCCACTATATATATATATAAATAACGTAAACTGGCGACCAACAGAGATGGAAATGTAAACGTTTTTGCCAGTTATAATATCATATAAACTATGTTTACATATTCATCTGGTTCTTCTCAACAATCATCAGTACCTACCTGCGTTTACTTCACTGCACTCCCCTCCCCTCCTCTACTCTCACAGGGTGAGACAGGCCAGCCAGGTTTCCCAGGATCACCTGGAGAGAGGGGTGTGAAGGGTCATGAGGGTATGCCCGGCAAGCCAGGAGTGCAAGGAATCAGAGGAGACAAAGGACTCATTGGTTATACAGGTCAGATTTCAATCTGTATTGTCGCATTCATCACATTTGTCTACGACACTAGATGTAGTATTTATACATGTTGTTATTCCATGTGAGTTCTCATCGGGCTGTATGTGTGTTGTACAGGTCAGACGGGTAGATCAGGTGAGAAGGGAACCCCGGGGCTGCCGGGGGCTGCAGGAGAATCTGGTCGTGACGGTCGGTCTGGTCAGTAACAGGATTATTTACTCAGCTAGTCAAACAAATGGCCACGTATTAATCACAGTAATCATTTCATTTGTTCAAGGTTTGATACAACGTTTACTTCACAAAGACGGACGTAATCGTGCGAGATCAGTTTTTGTTAAAAGGGTTTTGTCTGTTAAAAATCCACTGAGGATTTAATGTGCCTCTGCCAGCCTGGTTAGTAACATAGTTTGTCAATTTGTTCTCCTCCAGGTGAAGGCGGCTTGCAAGGACCGCCTGGTGTTCCCGGAGAGAAGGGAGATGCTGGAGTGGATGGTATCCCTGGATCCTCAGGGGAGAGAGGAGACCAAGGTTAGTGTCAGAGGAGTTAGGAGGATGCTACATGGCAAAAATGTACTTGTTTGTTGATAAGCTGTCACGACACAATGAACAATAAACCTCTCAGCCTAGTATATCAGCGTCACTCTGGCTCGGGACCCTTTATTTAACCTTCGACCAGACTCACAACCACTACTCGCACATTTTACTGGAAGACACAAAGTCTTGTTTGAGTGGTCAAACCACCCATAAGCTTAAATCAGGGGTTAGCAGAGCCAAATCAAGTGAAAACTAATGATGTCCGACACGTGGCAGGTTCAGGTCTTTTTCTTAGGTAGCCCTAATATCTGCAGACCCCTCACTACCAATCCAAAAATTACAGAGAATGCCTGTAATGTACTTTTTGTCTGTCCTTCCCCCCCAGGGTTACCTGGACGAGATTTTCCTGGACCACCTGGGGTGCTTGGTGGCCAAGGTTAGAGCCCTTCCGCCATTGATTTGTATAATCAGTCAATCACTTGAGCCAAGCAGAGTTTCATCAGGTGAAATTTCTCTTTCCCATTCCAGGTGACAAAGGTAGTCCTGGCTTCCCTGGCACTCCAGGTAATCCAGGTGTCCCTGGTATCAGAGGCGACAAGGGACTTCCAGGCTCATGGGGACCCCAGGGGGAGACAGGAGAGAGGGGGCTCACAGGTATCTCTCTGGAGGGCCCTAAGGGAGAGAAAGGAGAGACAGGACAAGCCGGAGAATCAGGTATGCCATATACATGACAGTCCAGCAAGTTATTACGTGAATGAGGACCTGTTGCTAAAATGTTGTAGTACAGAGCCACTGATGCAAGACAAACGTGTTTAGAATACCAAAAACATTGTGTGTTATATTATGTGTTCTTCTTCTCTTTATCCAACAGGATCCTCAGGAGTACCAGGACTCGCTGGTGGGCCAGGCAGAGACGGCCAAAAGGGAGACAAAGGAGACCAGGGCCTCCCTGGTTACCAGGGAGAGTCGGGACATAAGGGTGACTCTGGAGTCACTGGACTTTCTGTACGTCATTTTCCATCACTTAAGCTTTATACTGTACATGTTATTTGCTCATATGCAGGTCAGTGCTGCTTTCATGCTATTTCTGTGTGTATTACAGGGACAATCTGGCCTTCCAGGTATCGATGGTCAGAAGGGAGGGAGGGGATTGCAGGGTGTCCCTGGCTTCCCAGGTGATTACATAATACAGTATGGTAGTCTATGACTGTGCGTGTGTGTGTATTTGTGCTCTTTTGTGAAAGAGTACTGTATTTTTACAGAAATATGAGAGGAAACATTAGTTTTTATTCCCATTATTGACAATTAAAATGCACTATTCTTGAAACTATAGGTACAGGGGGTAATGTGGGGGACATTGGATTCAAAGGAGAACTTGGAGACAGAGGATTCCCAGGAGTAAAGGGTAAACATGGAGGGGAAACCCTTCAGTGTTTTATTACTAGAATCATTCCAATACATAATTCAGTCAGTGCTTACACATGTCTCTGGTAATCTAAATGAGCAACTGGAAAATGTTGTCTAAAGAGATTGTATATTTTAGGCAATGAAGGACCCCCTGGTCCCCCCGGCCCCAGCACCTTCATCAAAGGAGATATCGGGTTCCCAGGGATACAAGGCTTACCGGGTCCCCAGGGGCCATCTGGGCTTCCTGGACAGAAAGGACAGCAAGGTGACATTATGCCTAAAATTGTGTAATACACTGTGTAACCAAAATGTTCTCCTGCTCACCTCTCCACCGCATCTAATTTTCTTATTGATTCAGCATTTGTGTTATTTTTTATTTTTTTCTCAGGTGTGACAGGTCTTTTGGGGCCAAAAGGTGACGATGGCATTCCTGGATATCATGGTCAGTCTGGATCCAAAGGAGATCCTGGCCTGCCAGGGCCACAGGGTGAGAAGCACACAGGGATGAAAGGTGATAGAAAGGTAAGAACTGCTGTGCTGTTGCTGTCATTAATCATTCATTACTCTGTCTTCAGGACCCAGAGGACACCCTGGCCCTTCAGGACCTGACGGTGTTCCAGGTCAAGTGGGTTACCCTGGCCCCTCATCCATGGATCACGGGTTCCTGGTAACCCGTCACAGTCAGACGGTGGATGTTCCACTCTGTCCCGAGGGAACCTCCCTCATATATGATGGCTACTCCTTGCTCTACATTCAAGGCAACGAACGCTCCCATGGACAGGACTTAGGTGAGAAACACAACATGTGGATGGAGAAAATAGGTTTGTGGCTTTAGTTACATGTCTCCCCTTTCTGTGTTTTAGGTACGGCGGGCAGCTGTCTAAGGAAGTTCAGCCCCATGCCCTTCCTGTTCTGTAACATCAACAACGTGTGCAACTTTGCCTCTCGCAACGACTACTCCTACTGGCTCACCTCCCCTGAGCCCATGCCCATGAGCATGGCACCCATCACTGGTGAAGGCATCAAACCCTTCATCAGCAGGTATGTCTGCATTTCTATCCATACAGTTCCGTTTTAGGTATTCATGATACTCATTTGACCCGCTCCTCTCCTATATGTGTGTGTGGACAGGTGTTCTGTGTGCGAAGCCCCGGCCATGGTGATAGCAATTCACAGTCAGACCATCATGATCCCACCATGCCCTCACGGCTGGGACTCTCTATGGATTGGCTACTCCTTTGTCATGGTAAGACAAACAGGATCAGGTTTCAACAATACATTCATTTAGTCCTTACACCGCTGACGTGCCAAGAAAGCCAAAGTTGTGCGGACTATCTTTTGTTGCATTTACATTATTTTATCCAAGAAGTAAAATCAATATCAAGTTAATTGACAATATTAAGAGGAACAGTAGATGTGCTACAGCTAATGTGAATATTCCACGTAAGCAAATGTTGAAGGACTTACGTTACATCATGCTGTAAATGCAAGTACAGATAACTTGTCCTACCTTATCCCCAAACCATCCCAACCACATACCCACCCCAATTTTCAAAAACCTCCCTACCAATGGCAGTGCGACCATAGTAATCCATACATATACAGTACATCTATCCATTTACAGTGTCTTTGCAAGACAATCCCCTCTGAGTAACTCTTTTTGCCTGCACAACTTTCAGAAATCAAACAGTAACTGTTTTCAAGATGTGCTTAATTTGGTTAATGAGCTGTTCTCACTGTGTGTGTTTGTGAAGCACACCAGTGCTGGTGCTGAGGGATCAGGCCAGGCTCTGGCCTCTCCTGGTTCCTGCCTGGAGGAATTCCGCAGTGCTCCATTCATCGAGTGTCACGGCCGTGGAACCTGCAACTACTACGCCAACTCCTACAGCTTTTGGCTTGCCACCATTGAAGACACTGAGATGTTTAGGTAAGACAGAAAAACATTGTATTTCTTGAGCCCCCTTTCACATGAAAGAGTAACTTAAGGGACAGTTCCCCCAAAAATCAAAAAATACTATTTTTATATATATATATATATATATATATATATTTCTTTTTTTTTAATTTATTTATTTTTTTTTATTTATTTATATTTTTTTTCCCCCTCTTACTTGAAGTGCCAGTTATCAATCTACATTTCTGGTTTGAGTTGCCTAGTGTTATAGATATCAGCCATAGAAATGTCTGCCTTCTCTCAAATGTAGGAACCGTAGTTTCTACATGAAACTGATCTTTTAAAAGTCTGTGGTGAAACAATGCTTTTTAGCCTGGAGTTAAGTTACTGTTTCAGTTTTGGCCATTATCTAATTTCCTCCACATATACATTATGAGCTTGATAACAAAGGTGGACTTCTAATGTTTTTCTCTCCACCTCTTCCCAGGAAACCTGTCCCCACAACGCTAAAAGCAGGCAACCTCCGAACACACATAAGCCGCTGTCAGGTGTGCATGAAGAGGACATAGACCTCCACTCCAGAGTCCTCCTTCCTAACAATGCGAGCAAAAACGTGTACGCTGACGTCCTCAACTTGGCTTAACTTGCTGTTTTCAGACGATGGTGCTATTTCCCTGCATGTGTGAGAGGAGAGGGACAGAGACGTGGTTTGCAAAACAGTCGGAGACTAAACATTACAAACACAGAGACCAAGCGGCCTTTTGTTCCTTGCAGAACACAACATGATCACAACATGTCTCTAAAGAACTGCTCCCAGTTTACCACTGCACTGAGTACATGCCCCCTAAACTGGTAAACTGGTGTTCATATTGTGTGAGTCAGGTGCTATACAATTTTAATTATCTCCCTTTTTGCATTTTGTTTTTTTTCCTTCTCCCTTCCCGTGCCACAGCATTCAAAGATATAGCCTCATTTTATTCTATATTTTAGCTCTTTTAAACATACTAATGAAAAGGATGGGACTTACCACTGGTTACAGACGCTTGCCATTCGCTAAATCACCGCAATGTTGCCGACACACATATATACTTATCACTGTGTTGTAAATATAATGCATTCCTCTCTAACGTAGTCCAACATAYTCTCMTAMAKSTTATAWATWRAAATGGACTYWRT